CACTGCCCTTCCAGGCACATTAGCAGGGAGCTGGATCAGAAATGAAGTCACTGGAGCTCAAACCAGCACTCCAAAATGGGATGCTGGCATTGCAAGTGTGGCTTAGCCCACTGCACCACCACAGCCAGCCTGTGGTTTTTTTTTTTTTTTCATAAGTGAAAACAGACCACAGCAAAAACTTGCTTCATAGTCGTTGCTAGGATGTTCTTCTTTGGCTAAGGAAGTGGAATTTGGAAAGGTTTTTGGCTGTCTTCTCATCAGTTCTCTGCTCTCACAGATAACATAGAAGCCCCCAAAGGTGCGGTCGTCAGAGGCAGGAGTAGAACGTATTTTACTTGCCCTTGAATTCCCTCAGGTAGCACAGGGAAGGGGGCCTTGCCCAAGAGCCCCAGCTGAGTGCTAGAGGGTGCTGCTGAGCATAGATTTCTCAGGGTGGGGGTCATACTTTCACCTTAGGAGAGGCATACATCCCTCATGGAAATAAAACTCTCTCCAGGACCCGGGAAGGCCTTTAGCCACTGCTAAAGCGTTCCTTTACTGCACTCAGTACAGACACTGGGTGCTTTTCCACTTGGGTCTCCATTTGGGGTTTTCACTCCCAAGAGAGGAGGCACAGGAGAAGCTGCAGCCAACACAGAGAGGACTCCTTTCTCCCCTTTCTCCTGGGCCGGATGACCTTAGACAAAGGTCTCTGAATAGCTTCTCTTTCCAGCAACCCAGGCCCCTGATTTTTCCTATCCATTTCTTTTGAAACTGGTCACTCTCCTAAGGGTGACTGTTCCTGAAATAGACACTGAGAAGGTGGTGGTGAAACCGACCCTATCACATCCCAAATGTTATCTCTTGTGCACTCCACACTGCCCTTTGTTCTCACTCTCTCTGCTTGCTGTTGCTGGCTCACCCAAGGCGGGCCTGCTTTGCATCTCTATGGCTGAGGTCCATTTGAGTGTATTCAATTCTTCTCCTTTCTCCCCTCTGAGTATCTTTTTCTTTGCCCTGATCATCTTTCTTTGACAGAATTGACCCCAAAGGTCTCTCAGATTATTCAAGGGCTGAGCCCACAGAGCAAGGGGAGTTGTGTGGCTGTTTGGATGAAATCCTAGGTAGTTTGGGGTGAAAGGCAAGACTGTGGAGGTGATGTAGGAAGAGGCTGTTTTGTCACATTGATCAAGCCCAGCTTGAGGGTTCTGGGAAGGGACCCCGTGGCTGGTAGCACCCCTGGACACAAGCATAATGCCCTGACTGTACTTGCTTAAGTTTCCTTGGTTGGTTTTGTCTGGGTCATTGGGTCCTAAGAGGAGAACAAAGATGATTACCTGAAGAGAGAGCACCAAGGCAGGTGGTCCCCAGGAACCAGAGTGAAGTATGAAGAAAATGGAAAACCAGAATCCTTGCTGTGAACGAGGCAAAGTCATTGCAGGCGTGGGGAGGAGGGAGTGATTCCATGTGTCAAACACATGTGGGCATAAAATCTCCTTCCCCCAAAATATCCTTCTTTTGCACATTTCAAGATGGCCGTTCATCACAGGAAGAGCTCTGAGAAGCTGCCCATTTATGAGGGAAATTTACATCTGTAGAGCACAGCTGAGGAGTGCAGTAAACAGGATTTTTCTAGATCCCCTTATCTGCCTTAGTTGGATCTAAGAGAGATTGTGTCGATATCCATGCCCAAGAGATTGCCACGGGGTGTCACATGTTCTTTCCATGACTGTTGTGGGGAGACTTCATCTTCATAAAAGACAACAGCTGTTCACAGCATGTTTCTCCCTCTTACTCCCCTAAGAACCTCAATCCTCTCTTTCTGTAACTCAAAATGCTATTGAAGCTTCAACCATCTGGACTTCACTGTGAGTTTCAGATTGTGTCTGGCTTCTGTGTACATTTGCACCTTAGTATATTTCTGTGCTTTGTCTTCTGTTAATCTGTCTCTCACCAGTTCATTTCAGCACACTCAATCTGAACCTTTAGAGGAAATTTAAACTTCCCTGTAGAGACAGGGACAGGAACAGGTGAATGAGCACCAAGCTGTGTCACGGAGATCAGAGGAGGACAGAATAAGATTTCAGTCTGGGGCTAAAGCGAAGGCTCAGAACCAAGTTCTGGGCTTCCTTTTCTTGGTGCATGTGATATGTACCAGGGACTGAGAATGTGACTTGGGGAGCTGAATGACCTTTTCTCTCCCCAGCCTCTCACCAGGGCTCATTGTGTCCAGGTACTGGGAGCCAGGCAGTTTCCTGTGTCCTGAAGGGATCTTGTTCCTTTTGTTGGCGGAATCTTTCCCCGTAAAACCTTGGGCAGGCAGACTGAGCTCGAGATATTAGAGGGAGCAGGAAGACTGAAGACACCCGACTGATGTTATTATTTTTGTCAACAACCGTGATTAGCTGTCAATGGCAATAACACAACAGTGTTTTCGTCTACATGAAGATAGTGTGGCAGAAGTGGTGAGAAGTGGAAAGGCAAGATAGAAAAGGGTTAAAAAGAGGAAGGGGATGGAGAGGTGTTCTAGAGAGAAAAAGAAGAGGTCACTAAAAGGGCCAGTTAGAACAGCAGAGTTCAGTTCTTGAGGTGAGGCACACCAGTAGCCCTGAACACACAGTGCAGACAAAGTCCTTCCTGTGCTGTCCACCACCAGCCCTAAAGCATGCGGGAAACACCCCCGATTGCTAAGTTTTTGCATATCTGCAATGCTCACAGCATCTTAGCTAAGGGTCTGCAAAAGGGGTAGGGCAGGACACAAACACAAATGTCATATTAAATAAAAATTACAGGAGGCCATTTATTTTGGCCTGAGTGTCTGTACTAGGTTCCAACAGACCAGGCTAAAAATCAAAGTGGAGTCACTCATGCTGAAGTTCCATGTCTCCCCCACTGAAATTAAACTGCTTGTCTGAATTTCTGAGAGGTTAGCCTTGAGAGATAACAGGCAGATTCCCCACACAGGCCAGCTTTGACTGGTGTGATGATGAAGTTCCCTCTGCCCTCATCCTTATACGGGAAAGGTAAGCTGATGTGGACCATTCAGTGGTTTTCCTGTTGTCTGTCTCCTTGTCCCTGTCTCACCAGGAAAACAACTATGAAACCAGCAATCTGCTTGGAGTTTTCTGTTTCTGCTTTAGATGTAGGCAGGGAGAGAGTCAGCAAGGAGGAGCTGAGGTCGCCAACCACACTGGGAACACCCACCCCACCCTTTTTATGCGGCTCCAGTGGTTTCATTGCTTAGAACCAGCACCTGCTGCAAATGACCAACACAGCCTCCACTGCACTGTGGTGATGCTCTCCAGCTCATTATAAGGTCATTACAATGAAATCACCATGGTTGACACACCTATTCCCACCTTGACAATCCTCAGATTTTTCCAGCAAAGGCAAGGAAATGGGCAGTACTGAAGCCCTGCCCAACCCTCTTCCTTTTGAATACTAATTTAAGGCCCACCCGAGACACCCCTGCTGTGCCTCTGGCTCATACACAGAGAGGGAGCCCCAACCTTGCTGGGCGCGACTCTTTCCTGCGCCCGCCTGCTTGCCTTCACAGTGTGATTTCATTTTGCATGTAAGAAATCTTGCTTCTCGGGTGCCTTTTCCCTGTCTTGTCCTCAGATTCTTTTCTTGCATTGGAATCTGGACCCAGCCATCACGACACTCGGTTCAATTGCTTCCTGTCTATGAAGCCTACCTCGTCCGCTCAGCTCCTCAGAACACTCAGTCTACTGGGGTAGTCCAAAGACGTTATGGAAAACGAAACTACAAGGTGAGTTTACTTTGCTGCAAAATTCTTTGAAATCTTTGCATGTGGGGGGTTTTCAAAAAGTTCATGGAAAACATGTATTATGGGAAAAAAAAACCTGCAATGGCAAAGAGGTATTAAAAAGTGCAGAAGTGCTGGTGGCCAGGTCACCAAGTGTGCTTGTAAGTTTTGCAGGGTCTGTTGCCTGGCAAAGGTTGCAACTGGTCCTTTGTCCTGCTGGTTCCGTGCCGTGGCCATTAACACCCATCCTGGGCCCTGGGACCACCTGGCTCTAGAGGAACAAACCTCACTGAAGCGCCTTGGCCAGCTTTTTTCTATTTTGACTTCTCGCCAGCTCCCTCTTCTCCAGGGCAACCACACACACAAGGCCGTTTTGCAATTTATGTTCATTTTGTAGAGGCCAGCCTTCTCTCCTCTTTCTGGCCTGGCCGTATTAGTCTTGGATGGCCCCAGGCTCTTTCAGCCTCAGAGCTGGCAGGGCCTTGTTATGCCAGCTGGGGAAAGACGACACACCTGTGGGTGTGCGAGGCCGAGCAGGGAGGTGGCTGGGCAAGTGTCCTAATGAGTCGAGGGTGACACAAGGCTTGCCCGCATGACTTCATCCATTTCCTCTCACCACGCAGAGCAGCTCGGGTGTTTGTGCAGCTGCTGCTGCCCCTGTGGGAATGGCCTGTCCTACCTGCGGGCCGCCCCTCTGGCCTCCAGGTGGGCATCTGTCCCCGAGCTCAGGCGGCTCTCGCTGTCCGGTGGACAGAGAGCACTCACGCCACTGTCTTCTCTTCCTAGCGTTCGGAAAAGGTGTTTTCAATCAGAAACCCAGGAACAGATGGGCTGTGGTTTCAAGCACATGGTAGAAACTGGCACCAGCCATCTGAAGCTGAGGGATTGTGCTGTGCCGTGTCTTAACGGAGCAGAGTCCTCCCGGGATGTGGAAGTGCTGTGGCTGCCCCGGCTTCCTGCTCCAGCTATTGTCACCTCAGCAGGCGAGCTGGAGGAGAATGCTGACTCACCCCCACGTGCTGTCTCCAGCATGGAAGATGCTGACCCGCTGTCTGCAATCTGTTGTTTTCCGGGGGCTGGGAGTGGGGGGCGGGGGGGAGCAGGAGATGCTGAGTCAGCAGTGGTCCTTGTGTAGAGCCCAGGCCCTTCTGTAGAACTGGGGGCTCAGGAGCCTGCAACTTAAAGAACGTGTCTTTCTCTGTGTGAAATAGCCCTTCTTCTTCCTTTTTTTTTTTTTAAGATTTTATTTATTGTGCTCTCTTCTGCAGCATATATACTAAAATTGGAAGGATACAGAGAAGACTAGCATAGCCCCTGCACAAGGATGGCATGCAAATTCGTGAAGTGTTCCATATATTTGGCAGTGTGGCGTAGCAGGTAAAACTACCGCCTGCCGTGCCGGCATCCCATATGGGCGCCGGTTCAAGTCTTGGCTGCTCCTCTTCCGATCCAGCTCTCTGCTATGGCCTGGGAAAGCAGTAGAAAATGACTCAAGTCCTTGGGCCCTTGCACCTGCATGGGAGACCTGGAAAAAACTCCTGGCTCCTGGCTTCAGATTGGAGCAGCTCCAGCCATTGTGGCCAACTGGGGAGTGAACCAGCGGATGGAAGATCTCTCTTTCTTTCTCTCCTCTCTCTCTCTCTCTCTCTGCCTCTCCTTCTCCGACTTTCAAATACATAAATAAATCTTTAAAAAAATATTTTACTTATTTATTGAGAGGCAGATGTACAGAGAAAGGTCTTCCGTCCACTGGTTCACTCCCCAAATGGCTACAAAGGGTCAGAGCTGGACTAATCCCGAAGCCAGGAACCAGGAGCTTCCTCCAGGTCTTCTATGTGGTGCAGGAGCCCAAGCACTTGGATCATCTTCTACTGCTTTCCCAGGCCATAAATAGAGACCTAGATCAGAAAAGGAGCAGCTGGGACATGAACCGGCACTCATAGGAGATACCAGCGCCACGGGCAGCAGCTTTACCCGCTACGCCACAGCGCCACCCTGTGAAACAGCTCTTCGAAGGGTATCCCAAACCCCATCACCTCTCTCAGGGACAGAAAGGATGCAGCGGTCCCAGTGGGCTGGTCGGCCAATCGTGACACCCGGTAGCATGCTGACACAGAGCTGGGGCCAGAACCCAGGGGATTCAACCCTGCTTCCTCATCACGTCCCAGCAGAGTCTGGGTAGGAAGTACGTCTTGTGAGCACAAGAAAAGCCATTTGGAGAAAGCCTAATGAGTATTAGTCATGGCCGTTTCCATCAAGGGACACTCATAGTAGCGTGGGGTTACCAGGGGCCGGGGCCACGTGGAGTCACTTTGAGACATGAAGTCTGGGGAAGCGTGTCTTCTGGGATTCAGGTCCCTAACCCAGGGTTCTCAAACTGTGTTCCATGGAGCATGTGGCTTAGAAATCATTTTTATGTTTCCAGGTTCCATTGCAGGTTAATGGCTCAGAAGTATCTGCTGAAGAGAACTCTCAACTCAGCCTCAGGTTGTGCTTCTCAAACTCATCTGATGACAGAATGCTGATTCTGCAAAACAGCTGTGGCTCACCGTCTGGTGGAAGCTCCATCGTAGATGTTATGAGATGCCCTCCGGTGCGATACTACGTCCTCTTTGAGATGAAAAGTGAATGATCCTCAGGCATCCTGACCTGGCGTCATTTGAGTGGATGTGTGGTTTGCACACTTAGGGCTGGATTTGCAGGCCTCTCTTACCTACTAGGAACTTAAGCTCACAGAAGCCTTAAGAAGGATTGGGGTGGGGGTGGGGAGATTGCCTTTAAAATTAATTTTCTCATGTCGATAGTGAAAACTTCAGAGCCGCAGTATAGCTCACCCATGCTCTGAGACTAGAAGTTTAATCCTTTTCAAAGGTTTTCCATCAGGACCTGTTGCTCTGAGGACTACTTAGGAAGTCCCGGTGAAGAATCAAAGGCCTTGACTCCACTGTTCTCCCTAGGAATGGAGGCACTTGGTTCTGCTGCCAGTGAACAGAACACACAGGGATTACTTTAATATCCAGTCTTGGAACACAGTGAGTGTGTGCTTCTTCACTGGGTTCATTCCTGGCTTATGTTGCACATTCTGGGCTTTCTACGTGCAGAAATGTGTGAGCTGAGGTGTGGAGACGCTTAGGCAGAGCTCCAGACCGGGTACAGATCCTTGCAGGTGCTCCGGCCCTGGATGAACAGGATTTCCCCCGTGGCTCTTCACACTTGGTCTTGCAGACACCGCCTCTCTAGATCAAGCCTCTGCGCGCTCACAGCGCCGGCTCTTCTCGCCATCATGTGTCACGTGATCACTCTCCACTCAATCGTCCTGCGGTGTTTTCTTCTCCTGGACAAATTCTTCTGTGCCCTGTAGCCTTGGCTGGATGTCCAAAACCAGATAGGACATGCTGTCCCCTTTCAGTTACACTTGCCATGGTTCCCAGTGCAGCCTTCGTGTTGGGCAAGGCGTCCTTACCACCTGTTCCAAGGTCTGACGTGTAGGCTAACCCCTCTTTTTCCTCCCCTAGCTCACTAACCTCTTTCATGTCTGCTGCAGATTTTTTTTTCAAAGGGGAGGCAGGTGAAAATGGAACTCAAGGGATCATGGTGGGTTCTACGATAGCTTCGATTTTCCAGTCTTGATCAGTTTACCAAGTTGGAATGCATTTCCCTATAGCCCTGCTTCTGTCACACCTCTGGGATCTCACAGCAAATCACGGACACACAAGGTGAAAGATCTGACTTCAAAGGAAACGTGTTCAGTGTTGGTGCGTTTGCTTCCTGGTGTTCCCTCTCGAGTTACCTTTGATTGACTCCTATATACAGCAGGAGGCACAAGGTGCCCGGCAGTCACTCCCCAAGTCACCCTTGACACACATGCTTGTAATCAGAATGCAAATCCCTTGTTGTCTGTGTGGCCAATGTGTGCTCCATTATGGCTTCCACTATAGACTCTTCTAGAATGCAGGGACCTCTGTGTGCTGCAGTAAATATGTGACTTCAATAACTCCATAAAAGTCATTTGATTAAATCTGTATTACCTGATGCTAGAGAGACAAGCATGGACTCCGTCAACTACTTTGTCAACAGGTTGTCTATACATTTTTTAAAAGATTTATTTATTTATTTGAAAGGCAAAGTTACAGAAAGGGAGAGGGAGAAGCAGAGAGTTGTCTTCCATCTGCTGGTTCACTCCCCAAATGGCTGCAATGGCTGGAGCTTAGCCGATCCAAAGCCAGAAGGCAGGAGCTTCTTCCATGTGGGTTGAGGGGCCCAAGCACTTAGGCCATCTTCTACTGCTTTCCCAGGCCATAGCAGAGAGCAGGATTGGACGTGGAGCAGTCGGGACTTGAACCGGCACTCACGTGGGATGCCAGCACCACAGGCAGAGGCTTAACCCACTACGCCACAGCGCTGGCCCCAGGTTGCCTATTTCTTTGACTGATTTTCCCCCCTGAAATTTCCAGCTGATCTGTGTCCTGGAGACCCAATCTGAACATGCGGGGATAGTCTGTGTAAGAGAATTGCCCGTGCATTCATTTCTTGGACAAAATTTTTATAAAGTGACATTCTTCCAGTGTGCAGAAATGTCTCCAAACACTACTTTCCAAGGGCTGAGCTGGGATGGGCTTAGGTGGTGCTTAAAAGCAATCACCCAAAAGGAACTCTGCAGAAACCACAAACTAATTTGCAAAGCGCTTAGAAAAACAGTTGCTTCAGAAGTGCCCTAGGCACTCACACACATTTGCAGGGCTTGCGGGAGTTGTGCTTCCTCCGTGATGAACTCCATATGTCTCTGGTTTTCTGTTTTGCATGGGACCCATCACCTCTTCTTTGTTTGCTTGGCTCTCCTCCTGGATAGCAGGTGCACTATCTGGATGGCACCTGGAGAAACAAACAGAATGTCACCCAGAAATGACACAGCAAGGGAAGTGCCTGCAGAGCCATGCCTCGGGGACTCAAGGGGGGGGGGTGTCTCCATTTCAGAAAGCCAGTGATGGAGGTATGGCTCCAAATTTAGAAACAAACAGGAAATGTGAGCCCATAGTTCACACCTTCCTGTGAAAATCTTCTGTATTCCTGCCTGGGAGTTGCCAGTTCAGTATTGCTGGGAGCAAAGAGTGTGTGAGCAAGATTTAAAAATATTGTGTAATGGACCACCTGGCTTTTATAACAATATCTGACCCTGGACTTGGTGTTGGAACTTAGGCAACTCTTTTAAACTGGGATGTATCTATTTGGAAGGCGACTGAAGTAGCTGTTAGCTGGAGCCACCTGGATAGGGGTGTATCTCCCTTTTTGGTGGCAGTCTTTGAAGTTGAGAAGCATTTTGTATTGGATCTTTGTGGAATTTGAAGAGGTGGTTCTGGATACACACAGATTACAACTATGATGACCTCTATTTTTAAAATAGTGCTTATTATATGTATAGCAGATACAAGTAGTCAGATGTTATTGAAGTCTTGTGGAAGGTGTTGTTAGTAGCACCTGCTGAGACTACTTCAAAAAGTTCATGGAAAATGTGTATTGTGAAAAAACTAGGCATGGATTTCAAGATTTTATGTTTTTTGGCACCCAAATAGTTTCAGTTCCTTTTTTTTTTCATGAAGTTTTTGAAGTACCAACATACTTAGCTGCAAGGAAACAGGGTTAGCGAGATGGGGCTAAAAGATGCAGAGTGGACACCTGTCCACAGGCTGAGGTTGACCCAAAGCCCTCTACTTACCTGCCTCCCGGAAGGTAGCAGAAGGTAAGGTGGGAATTAGGCCAGCTGAGGTTCTCTGCTCTAAACTGGATGGAGCGAGAGTTGTGAGGTCAGGCCCTGGGTAATTGGGCTTTGCTAAGGTGAAGCCTGGAGAACGGCTGTGGTTGATAGACTCTGGTCCTGATGGGGTTCAGCACAGTTCCCAGCAAAGATTACAATGGCAATAATAATTTCCACTTCTTTAGTATTTAGGACGTGCAAACTTCTTTTTTTTTTTTTTTTTTGTCATCTTCCATTAACTCTAAAATAATCCAATGAGAAAAGTACTATTTTACCCACTTTGCAGATTAGCAATGGCACCCACTCTGTGCAAGCAGGGACTATGTATATCTGTTTTTTCCAGGTTCTGGATTGCTGACGCATGCTCCAGCTCCGTGGGTCTGGAGATACTTTCGCCCTGTGCTTTGAAAACAGCAGTGTATTCTCTGGCAGCCGTTCCCAACACGGTACCTGCCAATCACAGGGAGTTCTCTAATTTCGGTGATCATCGTGCAGCAGCAGTCTTGGTAATCTGGGTGTCCTTCGATTCCCATCACTCTATGTTCTCCATAAAACGGCTCCTGGCGCATCCCTCCTGCTGGCTTTCTCCCGCTGGTACGGCTTGTCC